CAGTACAACTATGTACTAAGAATTTCCAAGGTTAAAGTGAGCAGATGTGGTCCTATGATCTTGTGTCTTATGTGCATCTATTGAGAAAATCACATGAACAAGGATGAACTAATAGTCTAGAGAAAAATATATGTCAGGTAAAACATCTGCCTGAATATTTCTACAATATAAAAATTACCTGTTTTCTTTGTACAAAAATTCTATTCAGTACAATAAAAGAGAGTTTGGTGTGCCTCTAAGATCTTCAGTGACAATAAATGGAATCCCTTGTGTATTGGGGATTGTACACATGAGGAACTTAAGACAGCATAGATACTCAGAAAAGCACTTAACCGTTACACTATTATCCCATCCCAGTTTACCAGACAGACACTGATACAAGATGTGAAATCTATGACTTAGAGCAGTGGAAACTCTGGTAGGAAATTTTGGCTTTATTAACCACTTTTGTCTCTCCTGAATATTGACTACTTTGAAAACCTCTCTGAAAAACATAAAGACACCATTTTATCCTTGAGTAATTTCATTTCCATTCAATTGTGCAAAGTATGATTTTTTTGCAATGACATTTTACAGGATTAAAGATAAAAGACTATCAAAATATGAAATTTATGTAGAAATTCTATGATTTGTCAGTTTTGTATCATGAGGGAAATGTTCTCAACACAACATGGCTCAGTGTGTAAAGCTTAATATTGAATATTCATTGTACTCTTCAGGAAGCTGAAATTTAGAAGCGAGTTAGCATTAGTTTCAAGCCTTGTCTGAGCAGTAGTTCTATGTGAAATAACATTGCAGGACCATTGTATTCTGCAAACATAGAGGAAATTTACATACCCTGATGAAAGAAATAGGGACTAATTGATCTTTAAGTTTGAGCTAAAAGGTAAATATGATTTAGAAATTTAGTTCATCTATACCATACATTCAGGGAAATATGACACTCAAAATCACAGAGCTTAGAAACTTCAAAGATTCTTTTGTTCTATGCTTTGTTGAATAACAAGGACATGCATTTTTATATGGAAAACATTTTAATTACTGTAAGTATAGCAGATATTTGAATTAAATCCTTAATCTGAGTGGTGTGTCAAGAATACATTGCATTCTTTATAATGTGAAATATAATCTATAAATGCCTCCTTATTTAAACAACCAGATCAGCAATATCATATTTACATCCATGTGGAGCAAGCTGTTCCCATTCAGACAATCATAGTTTCTGGCATGTCATTTCACCTTTTCATGGGTAGGCTAGAATTTTTCAGCTTGAAATACTTTGGTGTTTACTTCAGACTGCCTCCAGTGTCTATGTTAACTTAATACATTCAGTTAAATATTAAATGCATTCTTCCATTGAGGGACATCTAGGTTATTTCCAGGATCTTGCTATTACAAATAATGCTGCTATGAACATAGTTGAAGAAATGCTTTTGTAGTATGATTGGGCATCTTTTGGGTATAGTCCCTAGAGTGGTATTGTTGGATCATGAGATAGGTTGATTCTGAGTTTTCTGAGAAACCGCCACACTGATTTCCAAAGTGGTTGCACAAGTTTGCATTCCCACGAGCAATGAATGGGTGTTCCCCTCACTCTACATCCTCTCCAGCAAAGGATATCATTGGTGTTTTTGATTTAGCCATTCTGACAGGTATAAAATAGAGAAAGTGTGAAATATAGACACATTAGAGTACTATTCCACGGTAAAAGAAATGACAACTTGAATTTTGAATGCAAATGGATGGAAATAGAAAACACTATCCCGAGTGAGATAACCCAGACCAAAAAGATGAATTTGGTATGTACTCACTCGTTTGTGGACTTTAGCCATAAACCAAGGTCATTAAGCCCACAAGCCCAGAGAAGTCAAAAACAAGGTGAACCCAAAGAAAACCATATATAGATTCTCCTGGAAATTGAAAGCAAACAGGATTGCAGGACAAAAGCTGTGAGCATGGGGGTGGGGGCAGGGGTGAGGGTGATTTGGGGGGAAGGGGAGAAGGAAGGGAAAAGGGAAAGACTGACAAGAGCTTGGGAGAGTGGAAGGGTGGAGATGAATGAAGGGTGGATATAGGAGCAGAGAAGAAGACACCTACAGTAAAGGATCCATTTTAGGGGTGGCAAGAGACTTGACTCTAGAGGGGATCCCAGGTTTCCACAGGGATGTCCCCAGCTAGGTCCTTGTTCAGCAGAGGAGAGGGTGCCTGAACTATCCTTGCCCCACTATCACACTGATGATTATCACCATATCACCATAGAGTCTTATCACCATAGAGTCTTTGTCTGGCGATGGATGGAGATAGAGACAGAGATCCTCAGCAGAGCAATGGATTGAGTTTCCAAGGTCCAGTTGAAAGGCAGAAGGAGGGAGAAGATGAGCATGGAAGTCAGGACCGTGAGGGGTTGGTTCACAAACTGAGGTAGTGCGCCTGTTCTAATGGGAGCTCACCAAATCCAGCTGGACCGGGACTGAATGAACATGCGATCAAACTGGACTCTCTGATTTTGGCTGACAATAGGGGCTGACTGAGAAGCCCTTGTTAAAGGCACTGGGCCTTGTTTTTATGGTATGTTCTGGCTTTTTGGGACCCCTAGTCTATATGGATGCACAGCTCCCTAGACCTGGATGTAGTGGGGAGGGCCTTGAACTTCTCACAGGTCAGGATTCCCTGCCCTCTCTCAAGCAGGGTAGGAGAGGGAGGAGAGGGTATGGGGGAGTGGGAGGGGATTAGGAGGAGAGAAGAAAGTGTAAATAATTGAATGGAAAAATAAAATAAAAAAGGAAAAACAAAGAACTTCCACAAAAATAAATAAGTATGTAAGTAAGTAAATAAATGCATTCTTTATGTAAGTAGTACCTAAGTGTTGTGGTCTGTATTGAACTAAACTTTCCGTATGTACAAATACAACAAAAATTTGAAAAGTTAAACTGCCCATAATGAAAAAAGGATGATTTTGAATTATGTAAATGGATAAATGAGACTTCTGAATGAATTAATCAGAGGAGGGATGTGAGAAAAAAGTGATTGAGAAAAAAATGAATGAGAAAAAAGTTCAGCGTAACATGAAGACGTCGGGCCTGCTTGTTTGTGGGCTTTTCTGTCCTCCCACCAGGTCCCCACAATTATTTAGTCCCAGAGAAAATTACCCACACAGGACTCCGTAAGTTATAAAGCTGATTGGCCCGTTAGGTCAGGCTACTTATTAGCTAACTCTCATATCTTGATTAACCCATTTTTCTGATCTATTTTAGCCTTGTGTCTCAGTACCTTTTTCAGTGGGGCAGTTCACATCCTGCTGCTTCAGTGATGATCTGGGCAGGAGTGGGAGGGATCAACTTCCTCCTCCCCAGAATTCTCCTGCTCTCCTTGCATCATTTCCACTTCCTGTCTGGTTTTCCCACCTACACCTCCTGCCTGGCCAATCAGAGTTTATTTAAAACATGATTGACAGATTACAGACAATTCTCCCGCACCACTTCCCCCTCTTTTTTAAAAAACAAAGGAAAATATCCATAGTCCATTTTTGGGGAATGTGGGTGTAGTATTCCAGACTACTTCCAGCTGGTTGGGAAAGCTGATAATCTTACGGAAACCTAAAGAAAATTTAGAGTTATGATCAAGTCCTGACTGAAGTATCCTGTGAGTCTTGATCATCTCAGGCTGCAGTCTTGAACCTGTTCTGGATGAAGAACTCAGACATCTGGGCCATCTGTTCCTACCGGAGATTGCTCAGGTAGTCTCCCTTGGTCAAAGATGATTTTTCTTAACTCTGAATAAATCCACAGCCTCTCATTTTCTGTGGAAACAAAAGCAAAATCTCTTATCCAAAGCAACATACCTTTTTCAAAATATCTATCTTGGATTAATTCTGCATCATTTATAAGCAAATATTTTTTAGCAGCTGTTGCTCCTTCCTCAGCATTTAAACAATTCAAAGAGAGCATAATAACATACAGTATCACGATTCTCTGTGTATTTTCCATCTTTACGTGGCTTTATTTTAACCTCTATTTCTTTTATTTTTACTTTTAACTTTTGGCTTTTTGAGACAGGTTCTCTGCATATTTTTGTCCTGGAACTCCCTCTGTAGACCAGGCTATCCTTGAACTCCCAGAGATCCGTCTGTCTCTGCCTCCCCAGTGCTAGGATTAAAGGTGTGTACCACCACATCCAACTATTCTCTTTCTTTTTTATTTTAAGGCTTTAAACATTTTTTTTCAAGCCTGCATATATTTTTAACACACTGTAAACCATTTAGAGGTTTTCTTCCTCTTTGAATCTCTCTTTGCTGTATATCTCTCTTTTTCTGACCACATGGGTCTTTAATTTGCTAAGGAATATGGAGAAAACAACACCCAAAAGCTCATTTTCAAGGTCTTTGTCAGGAAGCAAGCTGCAACAGTGTTTCCATAGTCAGGACGGTCTGCTTGAAAGAGTCAGAGTTTTCCCCAGCCCAGAAAGCCGGCATTTTAAAACAGCACAGCTTTTTTCCTGCTATGGCATAAAACCAAAATGCTTTACTCTAGTCTTTCCCAAGCTTTCTCAGGCTTTCTATGGATGCAGTTTTCCATGTGGGCGCCATTTTGTAACATGAGGGGGCCTGCTTGTTGGGGGTTTTCTGTCCTGTCTGCCTCCCCCCCCCAGCTATTTAGTCCCAGAGAAAAATCACACTGAAATCTCTCTAAGTTATAAAGCTGATTGACCCGTTAGGTCAGGCTACTTATTAGCTAACTCTCATATCTTGATTAACCCATTTTTCTGATCTATTTTAGCCTTGTGTCTCAGTACCTTTTTCAGTGGGGCAGTTCACATCCTGCTGCTTCAGTGATGATCTGGGCAGGAGTGGGAGGGATCAACTTCCTCCTCTCCAGAATTCTCCTGCTCTCCTTGCATCATTTCCACTTCCTGTCTGGTTTTCCCACCTACACCTCCTACCTGACCAATCAGCGTTTATTTAAAACATGATTGACAGATTACAGACAATTCTCCCCCACCAGTTCAGGAGAAGAAAGGGAATATTCCTGGGAAACGGTGCAACGTTAGAAACAAGGCGAACTTTGTAGATCAGCAACAGAGCACCAATACTGTAGAAGAGCCCCTGGATCTCATCAGGATCAGTTTAGATGAGCAAATTTATGTGAAGATGAGAAACGACCGAGAGCTTCAAGGCAGATTACATGCTTGTGATCAACATTTAAATATGATTCTGGGGGATATAGAAGAAATTGTAACAATGATAGAGATTAATGAAGAGACATATGAGGAGATATATAAATCAACAAAATGGAACATCCCCATGTTCTTCGTCCGGGGAGATGGTGTTGTTCTACTTGCCCCTCCATTGAGAGTCGGCTGAGACAAGAGGATGTTGTGTAGGAAATGGAGACTTTGTCTCTTGAGATGTACAGAACACTCACAGAGAGAAGCTCACATGCCTTCTGATAATAGAAATGAACCAAGGATCCCTCCACCCTCAAGGAAGTTCATTTCCGAGTAACTTAGAGCCTCTCAGCTAAATCCCATGTTCCTTTTCCCCAGCTCTCCTGTCAGTGTCGTCAGCCTCCTTGCTCTTTTCAGGAGTTGTTTGCCCATTGTTCTTGCAGTTACTTTTAGGTTGTTTTTCATTAAATTAAATATGATGTCCCCTTTTATTTTTTTTTAAAAAGAAAGGGAATATTCCTTTGTCACTGTGACCAGGACATCAAGTGTGTACCTCACTCACAAAATTACCATTATTATGAATAGGAAATTTCCAAGGATAGGGAGACAAGTAGACTGACTGATGGGTCCCACCAATGCCTATGTTCTAGTCTCCAGATACAATAGATATGGTATTTTAAAGAAGAAAGGTACATTAGAGGTGTGATTTTTCTAAAAATTGAAAGACACTTCTTTAATATAATGTTCACAGCAGTGAGACACTTTCATGACCACATTGAGAGAAGAGTTAGAAGATTGTTTGAGAGAAAAAAAAATCTGCCTTTTAAATAAAGGAAGGTCTTCAGGAGTCAAGACCTGGAATGCTTGGCATCTTGAAACAGAAGAAAATGAGTTCTCTGCCAGAGTGAGGAGAAATGAACAGTGCCCTAAGAAATGGAGATTGTAAAGTAGTGGGACTCCAGCCAGACTGGCAAAACTGGCAGGTTGTGAATTTGGATTGCTTTAAGCCATAATTTTGAGGAAATTTGCTAACAAGGCAACAAAGAAACCAAGGCTGTATGAATGTGATTAAACTCTTTTTTTTTTTTGTATTGAAAATCTGGGGTGAGGAAGTGTGAAAACACAAGAAGCCTTAGGTTTCTAAATCAGCACAATGAAAACACTCTGTCCCTCTATAAAAAGAAAGAAGGTATTATCAAGTCCCTGAAAGTTTCTAATCTTTCCATCCTAGTACTCTGATTGGCATGTCCTCTAGCGTGGAAATAAGTATGTATTTTCCCTTGCTATGAGATTATTACATGAAGCTAAGCCTACCAACAGGATGAAGTAGAAACTTATGGGTTTACTGCTGAACCAACACACTCAGCTGAGGGGAACAAGAGAAAATCAACTATTCACTTTTGTTTCAGAAGAGTTAGAGCTGTGTCAATAAGCTCAAAAATAGGATAAAGAAAGTCCCTTTCCAGAAGGTAGTAGAGGTAGGCAAAGAGAGCAGAAGAGGAGAGAAATCTAGAAAGTGTTCATAGGAAGCATTTCTACCATCAGATTTGATTTCCGTGATGCCATTTCATTGAGAAATCTCATTATGGAAGCAAATATTTTCTAGCTGGTCTCTACCTCTATTCTCAACTTGGATTTTAATGTCAAGTTAATAAAAAAAATCAATGTCCATGCTTTCCAAATGCCTCAAAAGGTAGAGTTCTGACTTAGCATTCATATTATCACCTAACATGCAATTACCTTATTTTTTAGTTAATAATTTGCACAATGTTAAGGTTTCTTTCAAGAATAATTATAGCAACACTAATTCTAAGAATTAAAATTGTTGCTTTTCATAGCATTTTCAAGTAAATTGTAATAACTTACATTATATGTTTATCCATAAATATAATATTACTTCCACATGTAAATTTGCATGATATACTTTCATTATGATAACTGAACACTTTTCCAGTTCACATATTTCAAAATAAATATCCAAGGTTTCATTCTTATGACTTCTGAACAATGTACTTAAGTAAAGACATTTTAGCAAGAACTTTTTTTAATATCCAGATATTTTAGTTACCACAGTGTGTGAAATAAGCATTATGATAAGATTATAAGCATCTATGCTTGTGGTGTGACCAAGCTGTGACTATAAACTATTTGGTCTATTAGCACAGGCCTATTATTAACTAGCTCTTGCATCTTAAATTAACCCATAATTCTTGTCCTTGTCTAGCCACATGGCTTAGGACCTTTTCTCAGTAGAGGATTCTTGACCAGCTCCCTCTACATCTGGCTGGTGACTGCCTCTCTCTCTTCCCTGTCGCAGAATTTTCTTAGTCTGGTGGCCCCACATATATTTCATGTCTGGCTCATGACCAATCAGTGTTTTAGTAAACCAATGAGTGACAAATCTTTACAATGTACAATGTTGAAAGACTGTGATCCAGACAACTGGGCTGGATGGTGTGTGCTTTTGTGTGGAAGATGAACTAGAGAAATGGAATCACTTAGCTTAGCTGTAAGAAGAGCGCAGCCACAATCAAAGAAAAGCAATGCTGGTATCCTGTGCAAAATAAAGCATTAGAAAGATGCAGTGAGCAGTCAGGACCCTCACCTGCTTTGTGGAGTAATTAGACTTGTTAGTGAACTCTGTAATGGAATAGGGATTTGTACCTTGCTACCCTTTGTAAACACTGACTTCACTCACAAAGAATTAGAAAAGTTAAATTCTTCAAGAAGTTTTTGTCCATTTGTTATCTACCTTGGAAATCTTTTAGGCATTCTTTGGATTTCTCTGAGACTTTGAAATCAATTAAAAATTATTTACAATCATCATAAATACATGAGAGACAAGACTCTTTCCTTCAACTGTTGTGACATCACAGAACAGAAGGATTCCTTCTGTAGGCTGAAATTTCTCTTCATACACTAACTCTGTGAAGTCAGACATTTGCTTCCATCCCCTTCCTTTGTGAAATCATAAACTCTGCTTTCATTGTCATCTCAATGAAGTCACAGTCATCTACATGCTGTCCCCTATCTCTGTAAAGTCATAGACTTCTTCCTTTTTTTTCATCTCTGTGAAGTCATTGACTTCTTCCAGCCCCACCTCTGTGAAGTCATTGACCCCTTCTACCCCATCTCTGTGAATTCATCGACCTCTTCTACCCCATCTCTGTGAAGTCATAGACTTCTTCTATTCCCCTTTCTCTGTGAAGTTACAGACATGTGCTTTGATTCTCATCTTTGTGAAATCATAGACTTCTTTTCTTTCCCGATATCTATGAAGATATAGAGCTCTTCTTTAATCAACCCTCTCTGTGATGCTTTTATTTCCATGTTTCTATGAAGTCATAGATCTCTGCTACAATCCTCTATCTGTGTGAATTCATAGACTTCTTGCATCTCCACCTCTGTGAATTCACAGATATCTGCTTCCATCCCCCATCTCTGTTAAATCACAGACTACTGCCCTGTCCTCATCTGTGTGATATCAAAGACCTCCTCATTCATCACCCATCTCTGTAAAGCCACAGACATTTGTCTTTCTCCCCCATCTCTGTTTCCAACTGTTTCATTTTCAGGTTTAGGGTCAAAAAGTGCAGCAAATTGCTTTTGGGTGAGACAGTCTCTCAGTTTTGTAGACATTATCTCACCAATAGATGTTTCAGTAGGTGAAATAGACCAGGGAACAATTTATTCCTATCTTTAAAGGCTAAGGAGGTTAAATGACTCATTTATGAAACTGAAAGTAGAGTTCAGCATCCACAACAGGCTCTCTGTATAAGAGTATCTACCAAATGTCTTCCAGAAAGAGAGTGAACTAAAGGCTACTGAAATTTTGTCAGCCATGACTGAGGATGGTTTATTCTAGGTGTACAACATACGCTTTCCTGTGAGACATGATTCTGTAAACAAGAAAGTAAAAATGACTTTCAACTTCGATTTTCAGGGAATTATTGACACAGACAAGTACAGAAATATTTCTTGTGCTCAGTATCATTTATAATAGGCATTACATATGCTATAGCAGGCCACTCTGTGAAATGAGATTAGGACAAGACATAGGTAATGTGTGATAGAAAGCACAGAGTGTCTGCCTTGCAAAACTGATCAACTTTTGAGTCCTTGATTCTGCTAATGTAAAGTAGTGTATCAAAACCAAAAAAAAAAAAAATACATCTCCATTGAAGGAATCCTGTGTGGGGAGATTACTGATCACTTCATCATTGTCAAAAGATAACTTCACCTCTTTTCAAAATATTCCATTTCCCCCTATATTTATTAGTTTGTAGGTAAGTGTTTGTGTTTTTGTATGTTGATGTATGTTCATGTTTCTGTGCATATACCATAGCATGCATGTGGTGGTGGGAGAAATATAGAAGACTTAGTTTTCTTCCTTCTTGTGGGATACAGGGATCAATGGAAATTGGGTCATCAGGCTTGACAAGAACTTTTGAGTGATAAGACATCCCAAAGCCTCATCAAAGAATAGTTTATACATTGTCTTAAGAATCTAGCTTTCTGATTATCTTCTTATATTTTGGAGTTTGATTTTTGACCTATACTTGCAATCGTGTCTTCAGTCCTCGATGATCGACAGCTCATTTATGCCCTGCTTGCTCTCTTGGCCACCCTCCCTTCTATTTATACTACTGCTCTTCCCTCAGTAGGCATAGGCTGGCTTGACATCTGCTTTTTCTTCTGCCTTTCATGGTTTTTAGAAGACAATCACAGTAATTAATTTTGTAGCACATGTGTATTTTCCTATCTTTAGAAAGTGTCATTTTAATCTGTTTTTCTATTCCTGAAAACCTATCAGTTTCCTTTCCTTGACATTATTTTTCTCCTGTGAAATTTTTATTTCACACCATGTAAATAAATTTAATTTACGTCATTCACTGTCTGCCTCTCCCATGTGTCATGTCCTTTGTCCTGGAAAAGAAACAGCTTTGTACCACTCTATTCATCAGAAAGAATCTTGAATGCAGGTTGTACCGCTGCTAGGGATTATTAGGTGAGTGAGGGTAAATTTATTTATGATTAGTAGAACTGTTGAAAATTTAAAAAATGCTGATAAATTAGAAACATGTCTTCATGGAAAATGCCCATTGTCTTATAAGGCCATAGAAAATCTTCCACGTGTTTCATCTATAAGCCAAAATGTGTGAAGCCTTGTATAAATGACTCAGTTTGAAGTAGGAA